CTATCAACCAAAATAATGGATACCTGAAGATAGCCAGAAAGTAGTTGGATAAAACATTTTGTCTATAAAAAACATCTGTAACAACCAAAGAAGAGGATAGTTTAAAAGTACCAAAATATATTAACAATTATTCATTTCAAAAATTTCTGAAATGCAAAGATTGAAACTAAAACCTGATAATGTGATATGTACAACAGTTCACTAATTATGGTCAGTCAGTGAGAAAAAAAAATTATATGTATTTTAATATTTTATGTATTTTTATGTGTATTTTAATATTTTATGTATTTTTTATGTGTATTTTAGTATTTTATGTATTTTTCATGTGTATTTTAATATTTTATGTATTTTTCATGTTTATTTTAATATTTTATATATATTTTTATGTGTATTTTAATATTTTTATAAATATTAAAATACGCATAAAAATTCAGTTTGACCATTATAAATGATGTCACCTTGCAGGACTTGAAATTGATTCCAGTAAACAAGGGAATGTTAGAATTAGCCAAAAACAGTTACGTAAACACACAAAAGACAAAAATGAATGCAGCAATTTTGAAAGTAGTCAAGAATGATAACAAATAATGTTGTAATTGCTCAGCCATATACCCATTTTATTTTTTACCATAATAATTACTTAATAATGATAGCGGCAAAACATAGTGGAATACAGTGAATCTTGATTTTGGTACCGTTTTGTTATGATTGAAGATACTTCAGAATGAATAATGACAAAAGAAAAACAATAGTCCGACTAATGTAAATAGTGTACATAATACCTCATCTCAGAAATATAAACAGACACAAAAGAAAAACTTATCCAGTAGTCTATAATCTTGGATCAAAGTCCTATTGTTGTAACTTAGGGAAGGTTACTGAATAGAATAATCACACAAAGGTTGGGAATAAACAGTAATACTTACAAGAACAACACATATAAGATTCGGCAGTAGTACTTAGAAGAAGTAGTCAACTATTAGAAGTGAGTCAAGTGAATTCTACAATGAATCTCTAACTGCAGACTAATATACAGTATTTACTACTGTATTTATGTAAATGTAGACATACCCATTATCATTCGTAAGTATGCTACAACACCTATAAAGAGGAGCATTAATAGAAGTTAATAGAAACTGTGTTTTTTTTTAGGGGGGGGTTGCCTTTCATCTAAAATTTTTTCATGTTAAACTATAGGCATGTGTTATATGCAGATGCAAGTATAAATGCATGTTAAAAAGAATATCTCCACAGCTTCTTCTTTCTTCATTATCTGTTAACTGCCATGCATTGTCAGGGAAAAAGAGTGAAATGGTTTACAGCTGCCGCGTTCACAGTTTGGAATTCAGAGCTGTCCTTCTCTAAGACAGGCTGCCACACTGATGTAATGGAATAACCAATCACCACCATGAATGATTACACTATAGGTAGTAAGTACCTATAAAATCTCAAGTCTACAAGAGACTTGAAGACAGGAGGTGGGGTCAGAGCGAGATGACGCAAGCACGTCCGACCTTCCAATTAGTGGCACTCTCTATTAGATTGATCTGTGTGTATAACTGTACCGTATTTCATATTGTACTGGTTGTGTACAATAAACCTTTCTTCTAGTATCCTCCTGGTGTTATGTTTTTGTTCCCTTAGCACGGAATATAACACACATAAACCTAGAGAGCTCAGCCTACCGTGTTATTTAACACATAGCTCTTTCCCAAGACCATTTGTGTGAAAATTAATGCAACTGACTAGACTGGAATCTGAACTTGGCTGCCCAATTCCACTTTTTATACTGATGATCATTATTCTATATACATATCCCAATTATGATTACTCTTCTGAAAATTTACCAGATTCTGTTCTAAGTTTAGATCATGGAAAAAAAGTTTGGTAAAATCAATTTGAATCATTTTTCTGGCAGGAATGTACTGAATGGTTTTGTCCAGTTGCTGAACTCTCTAAATGTCACAAATTCTTCATAACTGATCTTGTGTCAAATATTTGAAGTTTATGGTAAAATTCTAAAAAGAATTAATACAAGATACAATCAAGTGATAATTTTGGCTTTTATTACAACCAAAACCTACCTGTACTAGGAGTGCAGTCTGATGTTAGCTTACTTTTGTGAATTACTAAATTACTACTTTTGGTCTAGGAGTTTCAATGAAAAGAAATCAGAAGTGATTAATGACAGAATTGACATAAAAAATGAAAGAAAGAAGACTAGAAAGATGAATGAAAAAAGAAATGAAGTAGAAATAATGAAGGAAAATTGGAAGAAGAAAAAATTGTTAAATATAAGAAAAAAGAAGAAAAAGATATTAAAGAAGAAAAAATGTTAATAATGTTATGAAATGTTAAAACGGAGAAGAAAAAGATGTTAAATCAGAAGGGAAGGAGAAATATTGAAAGAAAATTGGAAGAAGAAGAAGATATAAAAGATGTTAGAAAAAGAAAGAAAGTAATAACATTGATGGAAAATTGAAAGAAAAATTCAAAGAAATGGTAAGTAAGAAACAAAATAAATGAATAAAAGAAGAGAAAAAATTAAAAGAAAAATTAAAAAGTAACAACAAAAAAAAAAAAGAAAATTCAGAATAAAGAGAAAAATATGAGGAATAAAAAAGGGAGACGTTCAAATAATGGAAGGTTTATAAAATAAAAGAAATAAATGCAAAACAAAGAAGGTAATGGGAAATTTTTTTTAAATTTGGAAGACAAATGCAAAGGAAAAAACGAAGGAGAAATTAAATTGAGAAAGAAGAAAAAATAAACATAAAACCCTATTGAAAGATTAGAACAATGAAGAAAAAAAAAAGGAATGGAAATAAGGGAGAAGAAATAAAAAAATAGTAAAAAGAAAAAGAGTGCATGAAAAGAAAAAGGAAGGACTACAAAATCTAAGTCAGAAAGAAAGAAAAATGAAGAAGCACAAAAAAAAAGTTAATAAGAAAAGAAAGAGGAATGGAAATGAAAGACTATAAAACAAAAAAAAAAAAAGGGTAGGAAAAATGGAAAGCTGAAAAAGAATGAATAATAAAAAAGAAAGAAAGAAAAATAAAATTATAAGAAAGAAAGATATACAAGAATAAGAAAGGAGATGAAAAAAGAGGAAAGAAACACAATTCTGCTGCTTCTGGATGAAAAAAGCAAAATAATTCAACTTGCAATTGCCCAGAGCATTTCCTTCTGCTCTTAAGCATCAGCCAAAAAAGAAGACTCAATGAACATATCAAGAAAGAATTGCCCCTGGTGGCAGGATGTGCAAATCAGTTACTCTCCATATGTTGCTGAATTATATCTTTAAGTTAAAGGTTTGTCATTTTTAGCAAAGTAAATTTTATAGAAACAACAAACCTCCCCAAAATAGGTAGAATGAAAAAGGGGATGGTTACTTGTATGTCCAAATCTGATATTCAGGCTTGCACCAGAACAGACATATATTTCAGTGCATTTAAATATAATATATATATATATATATATATATATATATATATGTGTGTGTGTGTGTAAATATATGCATGCATTAAACATAAAATATGTGCAAAAAAGGTGCCAACATTATGAAATATAATATAAAACGGAGCTTAAAATATAATAAAAGAACATTTCTGACACATACTCTTCCACTTTCCGCTACTGACAGTTTCATTCACATTAGCAATCAGGCAGGATTGAAGAACCATGTAGAAAATGAAAAATGTAGGAGAGCATATAGTTTAGCAGTCCTATCTGATGATTACTAACTTGAATGAAACTGCCAGTAGCAGAAAGTGGAAGAGTATGTGTCTGAAAAGTTTTATATATAAACTTTTACCCACGTATCACATTAAATAATGCACTAAACTTAGAAAAACAGTATATGACTATCTCCAATGAATATATAAATATAATAAAACACTATAGTAAATGTATACTATACTACAATAAAAAAAAAATGTGGACCAAAATGGGCGAAAGCAATAATTTTGAAATAACAATGAGTAGCTATAATGGTGCAGGAGTATGTGAGCTTGTCTGACAGCCCTGACTGGGTTCTCCTGCTTGTATGGCATGGTGCAGAGTCCTGTTGCAAGACAGAGTCTTCCAGCAGTCAGACCTGATTGACTGGGAGAGATCATTTTCAACCATGGCCTGGATCTCACATTATATATATATATATATATATATATATATATATATATATAAAAACAAAAGACACTCTCTGGTTTCTGGTCATCAGATCTGATATGGTAATTTAATTTGTCCCTCTTATCCTCACAAATCTTAATGTATTTTCCTCACACACAATTTTGTTTTTCATTCCAACCTGAAGAATGGGAACCGAAAATGATTTACAGACGTTGGTAACATTTGTTTTTTTAAGCGTTTCTACATGTCTTATCAAAGATGCATATATATATATATATATATATATTTACAAAATTTTCATTCATTTAAATCCATTATTCTGAAATTGACCAGTTTTAGCCAATTTAAAAAAAAAGAATTACTAATTACATAAACTGTAAAGCAATTATAAGAACATCTGTTTTAAATAAAAGAGATAAATGCTTCATTCATTATGGCAGTTTCACATTTCAGATCTTCAAGTTGCTTTGGTTATTGTGAATTCAACAGCCAAGTCCTACTTTGGAATTATATTTGTGGATGTATACATGCATGGGAGTATATGTTTAGCTATTATTTAAGAGCAAATATCTTTCTGAACAGAAAGTATATATTGTTGGTGCTTGGCAAAACATAGAAATCTTTTAAAAAACCAATTCCCCAGCCCTCACTCCAGATAAAGTAAATCTACTTTGATGCTATACAATGTACCTATAACATCCACCTAAATAGATGTATTCAATAAAAATGGTAATGCAAAAGGAATGTGTAAAAACTCCCCAGGTGTGTACATATGTCTAAGAAATTGAATAAACTCTCAAGTTTAATACTTATAGGTGTTAATGGCTCCAACAAAAGGAAGCAAGTCATTTTTATAGACAAACTCAAAAGAAATGGCAAATAATAGCACTAAATATTACCTTTCTCTTCTTCATTTTGTTTCTTTTTTCTCTCTGTTTCTCTTTCTTTGACATTCTCTATAGCTCTTTTTTATTATCCTTTATAGCTCTTTCTTTTTATCATACTCTCATTCTTTTATATCCTTTATAGCTCTTTCTTTTTATCATACTCTCATTCTTTTATATCCTTTATAGCTCTTTCTTTTTATCACACTCTCATTCTTTTATATCCTCTATAGCTCTTTCTTTTATCATACTCTCATTTTTTTTTATATCTTTTCTATAGCTCTTTATTTCTTTTTATCATTTTCTCATTCTTTTATATCCTTTATAGCTCTTTTTATCATACTCTCATTCTTTTATATCCTTTATAGCTCTTTCTTTTTATCATACTCTCATTCTTTTATATCCTTTATAGCTCTTTCTTTTTTATCATACTCTCATTCTTTTATATCCTTTATAGCTCTTTTCTTTTATCATACTCTCATTCTTTTTTATATCCTTTATATCTTTCTTTTTTTATCATACTCTCATTCTTTTTTATATCCTTTATATCTTTTTCTTTTATCATACTCTCATTCTTTTATATTCTTTATATCTTTCTTTTTATCATACTCTCCTCCTTTTATATTCTTTATATCTTTCTTTTTATCATACTCTCCTCCTTTTATATTCTTTATATCTTTCTTTTTATCATACTCTCCTCCTTTTATATCCTTTATAGCTCTTTCTTTTTATCATACTCTCATTCTTTTATATCCTTTATAGCTCTTTCTTTTTATCATACTCTCATTCTTTTATATCCTTTATAGCTCTTTCTTTTTATCATACTCTCATTCTTTTATATCCTTTATAGCTCTTTCTTTTTATCATACTCTCATTCTTTTTATATCCTTTATAGCTCTTTCTTTTTATCATACTCTCATTCTTTTATATCCTTTATAGCTCTTTCTTTTTATCATACTCTCATTCTTTTATATCCTCTATAGCTCTTTCTTTTTATCATACTCTCATTCTTTTATATCCTCTATAGCTCTTTCTTTTTATCATACTCTCATTCTTTTTATATCCTCTATAGCTCTTTCTTTTTATCATACTCTCATTCTTTTATATCCTCTATAGATCTTTCTTTTATCATACTCTCATTCTTTTATATCCTCTATAGATCTTTCTTTTTATCATACTCTCATTCTTTTATATCCTCTATAGATCTTTCTTTTTATCATACTCTCATTCTTTTATATCCTCTATAGATCTTTCTTTTTATCATACTCTCATTCTTTTATATCCTCTATAGATCTTTCTTTTTATCATACTCTCATTCTTTTATATCCTCTATAGCTCTTTCTTTTTATCATACTCTCATTCTTTTATATCCTTTATAGCTCTTTCTTTTTATCATACTCTCATTCTTTTATATCCTTTATAGCTCTTTCTTTTTATCATACTCTCATTCTTTTATATCCTTTATAGCTTTTTCTTTTTTATCATACTCTCATTCTTTTATATCCTTTATAGCTCTTTTTTTCATACTCTCATTCTTTTATATCCTTTATATCTTTCTTTTATCATACTCTCATTCTTTTTATATCCTTTATAGCTCTTTCTTTTTTTTTATCATACTCTCATTCTTTTATATACTTTATAGCTCTTTCTTTTTATCATACTCTCATTCTTTTATATCCTTTATATCTTTCTTTTTATCATACTCTCCTCCTTTTATATCCTTTATATCTTTCTTTTTATCATACTCTCATTCTTTTATATTCTTTATATCTTTCTTTTTATCATACTCTCATTCTTTTATATTCTTTATATCTTTCTTTTTATCATACTCTCCTCCTTTTATATCCTTTATAGCTCTTTCTTTTTATCATACTCTCATTCTTTTATATCCTTTATAGCTCTTTCTTTTTATCATACTCTCATTCTTTTATATACTTTATAGCTCTTTCTTTTTATCATACTCTCATTCTTTTATATACTTTATAGCTCTTTCTTTTTATCATATCCTCATTCTTTTATATCCTTTATATCTTTCTTTTTATCATACTCTCCTCCTTTTATATCCTTTATATATCTTTCTTTTAATCATACTCTCATTCTTTTTATATCCTTTATATCTTTCTTTTTATCATACTCTCATTCATTTATATTCTTTTATATCTTTCTTTTATCATACTCTCATTCTTTTTATATTCTTTTATATCTTTTTTTTATCATACTCTCCTCCTTTTATATTCTTTATATCTTTCTTTTTATCATACTCTCCTCCTTTTATATCCTTTATAGCTCTTTCTTTTTATCATACTCTCATTCTTTTATATCCTTTATATCTTTCTTTTTATCATACTCTCCTCCTTTTATATCCTTTATATCTTTCTTTTAATCATACTCTCATTCTTTTATATCCTTTATATCTTTCTTTTTATCATACTCTCATTCTTTTATATTCTTTATATCTTTCTTTTTATCATACTCTCATTCTTTTATATTCTTTATATCTTTCTTTTTATCATACTCTCATTCTTTTATATTCTTTATATCTTTCTTTTTATCATACTCTCCTCCTTTTATATTCTTTATATCTTTCTTTTTATCATACTCTCCTCCTTTTATATCCTTTATAGCTCTTTCTTTTTATCATACTCTCATTCTTTTATATCCTCTATAGATCTTTCTTTTTATCATACTCTCATTCTTTTATATCCTCTATAGATCTTTCTTTTTATCATACTCTCCTCCTTTTATATCCTTTATATCTTTCTTTTTATAATACTCTCCTCCTTTTATATCCTTTATATCTTTCTTTTTATAATACTCTCATTCTTTTATATTCTTTATATCTTTCTTTTTATCATACTCTCCTCCTTTTATATTCTTTATATCTTTCTTTTTATCATACTCTCCTCCTTTTATATTCTTTATATCTTTCTTTTTATCATACTCTCCTCCTTTTATATCCTTTATAGCTCTTTCTTTTTATCATACTCTCCTCCTTTTATATCCTTTATAGATCTTTTTCTTTTTATCATACTCTCTCTCCTTTTATATATCTTTCTTTTTTTATATATAGCTCTTTCTTTTATCATACTCTCATTTTTTTATATCCTTTATAGCTCTTTTTCTTTTTTTATCATACTCTCATTCTTTTATATCCTTTTAGCTCTATCTTTCTTTTTATCATACTCTCATTCTTTTATATCCTTTATAGCTCTTTCTTTTTATCATACTCTCATTCTTTTATATCCTTTATAGCTCTTTCTTTTTATCATACTCTCATTCTTTTATATCCTTTATAGCTCTTTCTTTTTATCATACTCTCATTCTTTTATATCCTTTATAGCTCTTTCTTTTTATCATACTCTCATTCTTTTATATCCTTTATAGCTCTTTCCTTTTATCATACTCTCATTCTTTTATATCCTTTATAGCTCTTTCCTTTTTATCATATCTCTCATTCTTTTTATATCCTTTATAGCTCTTTCCTTTTTATCATACTCTCATTCTTTTTATATCCTTTATAGCTCTTTCTTTTTATCATATACCTCTCTCATTCTTTTATATCCTTTATAGCTCTTTCTTTTTATCATACTCTCATTCTTTTATATCCTTTATAGCTCTTTCTTTTTTTATCATACTCTCATTCTTTTATATCCTTTATAGCTCTTTCTTTTTTATCATACTCTCATTCTTTTTATATCCTTTATAGCTCTTTTTTTTTTTTTATCATACTCTCATTCTTTTATATCCTTTATAGCTTTTTCTTTTTATCATACTCTCATTCTTTTATATCCTTTATAGCTCTTTCTTTTTATCATACTCTCATTCTTTTTTATATCATTTATAGCTCTTTCTTTTTTATCATACTCTCATTCTCATTTTTTATATCCTTTATAGCTCTTTTCTTTTTATCATACTCTCATTCATTTTTTATATCCTTTATAGCTCTTTCTTTTTTTATCATACTCTCATTCTTTTATATCCTTTTTATATCTTTCTTTTTTTATCATACTCTCATTCTTTTTATATCCTTTATATCCTTTTCTTTTTTTATCATACTCTCCTTTTTATCCTCCTTTTATATTCTTTATATCTTTCTTTTTATCATACTCTCATTCTTTTATATCCTTTATATCTTTCTTTTTTATCATACTCTCTCCTTTTTATATCCTTTATATCTTTCTTTTTATCATACTCTCATCCTTTTTATATTCTTTTTATATCTTTCTTTTATCATACTCTCATTCTTTTATATCCTTTATATCTTTCTTTTTATCATACTCTCCTCCTTTTATATCCTTTATATCTTTCTTTTTATCATACTCTCCTTCTTTTATATCCTTTATATCTTTCTTTTTATCATACTCTCCTTCTTTTATATCCTTTATATCTTTCTTTTTATCATACTCTCCTTCTTTTATATCCTTTATATCTTTCTTTTTATCATACTCTCCTTCTTTTATATCCTTTATATCTTTCTTTTTATCATACTCTCCGTCTTTTATATTCTTTATATCTTTCTTTTTATCATACTCTCCTTTTATATTCTTTATATCTTTCTTTTTATCATACTCTCTTCTTTCCTTTATATCTCTTTATCATCTTTCTCTTGTTCTTTTTTTTTTAATTCTTTATCTCTTTCTTTTTATCATTCTTTAACATTCTTTACATCTCTTCTTTTTAAAAAAAGAAAGGGGTGCATGAAAGAGAAGGAAAAACATAATAGAAAGAAAGCAAGAAAAATGCAAAGAATTTAAAATGAAAGAAAGCAAGAGGAAAGCATGTGACAAATAAACAAAGAATGAAGGAAAAACATGACTAAAAAATGAAGAAATAGTAAAGAATATGATTGAGAAAGAAAGAAAGGACAATAAGAAGAAATATGAAATGAAACGAGAATGAATAGAACAAATATGACAAAATTTTAAAATTGAGAAATAAAAGTGAAAAAGAAAATTTGGAAGTAAAATGTGTTAGAAAAAGAGACTAGAAAAATATTCAAATCGAAAAAGGTATGAAATTATTGAGAGAGATTGAAAAATGAAAATAATAAGAAAGGCAGAAGTTAAAAAGGGGAAAGGATAATTAAAAAGAGAAAATGAAAGAGAAAAAGAAAGGAATTAAAAGAAAGAAAGGAACAAAATAATAATTATTAAAAGAAAGAGAGAGAGAGAGAGAGAGAAGAAGAGACCAAAATAATTTTTAATAGTTTACAGAAGAAATCATTTGAAGAAAAAAAGTCAAAGTTCATGAAATTTTGTAAAAATATAAAAAAAAGTGACAGCCAGTCATAGAAAATGGATGAATGAAATGTCAATTCTGGTTGTATTTTTGAAAAACACTTAAGGTTTACAATCCTTTAAATCTCTCTTGTTATCACTCTTTATTTATATATATATATATATATATATATATATATATATATATATTATAATGAAGAGAAAGAACAGTAAGATATATAATCCGGTGTTCTTATTAATATTTTTACAAAACAGTGCTAAACGCAAATCTACAGAGCATAAATATTATAAATTTACTTATTTTTAAATAAGTAAATTTATAATATATATATATATATGTGTGTGTGTGTTTCAATATATGTTTCCATGCATGTGTTTATTTATTTATATTTGTGTAAGTTCTTAGAGTTTTTATTTTAAGATTAGTCCGCCAACAATTCAATAACTGGCACAGTTATTTTGGAGTGCTTTTCCTTTGGTTAAACTGGATTATGGACATGACTATAGACCAAGTCACAAAGAATAAACTCGCTAGCAATGACTTGCAAAATATTTTTGCTTACTATTTATCTACAGCAGGAGGATTCCATTACTTGGCAAACTGCCCACAAGACTATCTGCAGATGAATTTCATTATATTTTAATTTGCAATCTTCATTATTCCTAAAACCGATTAATATAATTATGGTATCATGCAATCAAAATGTCTTGGGACTGGATATGAGTGTCTGTACAATTCCCATCCATGAATGTATTTGTAGCACAGCAGTTATCTGTGAGGTGGATGTGTGGATGGTGTAATGGATAGCAACCCAAAATGAGAATTCAGAGAGCCAAGTTCAAATTCCAGTTGGGTTCATTACATTCACTTTTTACAAAAATAACCTTGGGGAAGGTATGAATCCATCTCCACCCCTACTATGAGTTAAATAGTAGGACTTGTATCTGGAAAAATGATTGTTATTCTCAAAAAATTGTTAATGAAATATTCTTTATGAAATATTATATAAAGAACTATTCTTATAATCCCAAATATGCTTTTGATTTAAATGACTTACAAAGCCCTAACAAGAATATCAGTGTGGAAAGTGTGATTGACATTCTGTAACCTTGGCTGGCAGCCAAACTAATCCACAAGGGTGTTACTGAATGTGAAAGAATTTGAGAAGAAAAGGACAATAAAAGAACATGAATTAAGAAGATAGAAGATGACAATTGACATTGCATTTAAGTTTTTGAAGATTAAAGTTGACTGGAAAGCAAGGAGCCAAAAGAGAGTTCCAAAAGCAGGAAGTGCTATAGAAGGAACTGTAGGACAAAACTTACGGCTACATCTGGACATTTCAAATGTAAAATGATGAGACCTTGCTGCCAATCTAGTGATGTGCTTAAATTTATAAAGTTGAGGTACCAAAGAGGAAAGCTCATCAGAAAAATCGCTATGAAAATATTTATAGAAAAGACACTGGCGAAAGTGATTGAAGCTGAGATTCCAAGTCACGATTGATAATCTTGCCAATTCTTTCATCAACCAATCAATGGCTATATCACATTGCATCTTCATTCTTGTTCATACTGCATCAAAAACTGCTAAGAGCCTGCTGAAAACTCATAAGGGAATGAAAGATGAAAATAAACACTACTGTTTCCAATATATATTTAAGAGTTTTACTCAAGGTTTCATCTGCATGATCTGAGTGGGGGGATAAGGTGAAAGGACAACTTCCACAATCTAATAGATAAGTTTTTTTCCCTTTGAATCTTTCTCCTACAAAATCTGTGATCATCTCAACATTACAATGTGTGGCTAGCAACATGAACATGAACATGAACATGCAGCTTTAGAACTAACCATAAGAAAGTCTGTCCTCACCTAAAGTGGACCAGAAATGGCTACTTTGATCCCAACTGACTGTTAATATAGATGAGTAATCAGAAACCACTGATGTCTGTTGTTGTTGTTGCTTAACCTCAAAACCACTCATCCACTCATTCAGATGAATGAGTGCTTTTGAGTGTTAGGCTGTTATTTTATAATGGCTCCCTACTTCAAGGAGCACCCCAAACAAATATGAGGTAGTAAAAAGGGAAATGAAAAGAAGGGTGCCAAAATATGTTTCCTATTTTTATTAAATGCAACAATGTAAAACAACAATATAACATAAACATGGTACTTATAGTCAATGAGGTTTTTACTCTACAAGATGACTACCTTTTGAGCTAAAGTGACGTGAGGTGATCAACTACCATTATGAATATCTTTGTTCCCCATAGTGTGAGTCTGGATGTTGGTTGTAGCATGTGTTGCACTAATCTCTTCTTTAGATTGGACTTGTACCTAACTGTGGCAATGGCCTTAATCTATCTCAGTTGTCCCTACTATGCCGAGGGCATTAACTTGGCTAACTTATCTGCTTGCTGGGTGGAGTGTTCTATCTAAAACCCTACAATTTGTTTTTTGTCTTCTCTTTTTGTCAAATGGATGCCAATTAGAAGACCTGACTTCAAAGATTTTATCTGCTGGCCATAAAACACAAAACACTTGAAATCAAGATAAAATTACACCTTCCACTTCTATGTCAGTGGTCCAATCATAGTGTCATAGTAACAAACAACAGAGATTATTTACAGATATTTTCTTGATCTCATTAGGATAAAAGGATTATTGGAACTATGACGGAGACTTACAGCAAAAGCAATCGAAAACTAATCAAAATTAATTAACATTTTTTGCTTATATAATTTCTTTTAGATTCCTTTACAAAATAAATCAGCAAAAATTTCCATATTGCCTTTGAGAAAAATCATTAAAATTCAAAACTTTGTTCAAATAAATGAAGATATTGATACTGCTATGACAACATTAAAGCCAATTCATTCTCAAACTTTCTTAGGAGTATTGAGTTCACCCCAATGTGGTTTTCTTTACTCAGTAGAGAGGTCATTTTCTTTCCTTTTTTTTTTGATCTTTTTTCTTAATACAGATTAAATGACTGGTGAAAACAGAACACTCAAAACTGGTTTTTAACAATCTCGACTTATCAGAAAAAGAGAAAACTCAAAACTTCTGCATGCAGTTAATATCTTAACAACTATTTTCTGTTGCCATCTTGTCCTGGAAGAAGAAAAAAAGAAACCTATTTCTTTTCTTATGAAGAAGAATTGGTCAGTAAAATTAATGTGAGAACATGAACAGTAAAAAGGTGTTCAGTCAGCCAAACAAAACTTAAAAGGAATTTCTGTTTTTTGTTTCCTTGGTTTTAATTTTGTGACCAAAATACTAAAGATTAAAAGAACAAAACAAAATTTATTTGTTATTATCTAATAAAAAACTAATCTCCAGTTCCTGAATTGAACTGACTTTCTTTTCAAGTTTCAATGACTGCTTTTTAACACAGTTTCATGTTCCTTCTAGGTAAAAAATACATGCCTAAATTTTCAATATCAGTACGGACGCTTTTCCTGTCAACATAGATGGCTATGTACTTAATAGCTGACAGCATGGAAAATGAAACAGGCAAAATGAGTTCAAACTCTACCTGGAACAATACATATTCACTTCAAACATGCCCTTAAAAAATTCACTTAATTTACTTCTCCCTCCAGGTACTGATAAATAACAGAGCAGTTGAAGCACTTTAACTTTGTAAAGGTAATCTATCATGGGAAATCAATAATAAGTCAGGTACTATATAATCTAATTCAAGTTGTCACATGTTACTTGCAAAAGATATATATGATCAACAAATAAGCCCAATAGCTCTGAGTGATGTCACAAAAGAGAAGTACTGGGTATAGCACTCCAACAACCTAATGAGTTATGGGAAATGTTTACAGCCATGTATGCACAAACAAGCAGAATCAAATCTATGTGTGGCACATCCACTATAAATATAGCCTTGTGGTTGATGAATTATTTTCCAATATGCAACCTCTTTCCAACACTCAAAGCATTGCAAGCTCTCACTACTCTGTCGTTATTTCCATGGCAAATGTTGACAAGCTATATTCCTTATTTTCACCAGTTCAGACCTTTACAGCTAAGACATACCATACCAACATACACTGAGACAAATCATCCCCATTTCATTCATATTCTTTGTAAGAAGGAAGATCCATTCTTGCCATAACTGCTATTTTGTGGAACAGACTCCCAAGATGTGGCTTCTCCAATTGCTACAATCTTAACCTCTTCAAGTCTATGGCCAACTGTTATCTTTCCTATATATCCTCAGAATCTGCATTTATTGCTATCTCCTCTTATGTTCATACAATAACTACATTCATTAACTCTCTATTTTGTGTGGCTATGGGCCTTGTATTGGGTGAACAATACTAAAAAAAATAAAATGTTGGTATCATGCCTATAATGTGTAGGGTGAGTAAAGTATAAAATAAGCTTAAGAAAAAAAGAAAATCCAAAATACTACATGATTTTAGGTTTCTATAAGTGTTGTGGCCTTGTTAGGGCCAGAAATAAAAACATAAGAGAGGAATTGAGTTAAACAAATATATTA